AACAACAAGTTCAAGCAAAGTGTATGACATTTGACTCAGGTTGTTTATAGATATGCCAAAAGTATAAAAAAATTATGTATATATACTAGCACAATCTGAAACCAACAAAATTTTAAATTTTGAATTCAATTATGTAACAATCTATATCGATATTGTTATAAATATAATTTTATTTATGGTGAATGTTCATATTTAGAGAGATTCTAGGGTTTATTACTTGGTGGTTAAGTCACCCTCTCCCTATAAATAAAAGGGTTCTACTCCATTGTAAATCATCTCAAAGCAATAAGAATTCTCTCTCTCTACTTTTCTCTGCAATACTCTTCTTCTTCTTTTATTATTTCATAACATGTTATCAGCACGAGACTCTAACCAATTGAATAAAAGCTTTGGGATTGAACATAATGATTATCAATTGTTCCATGAACTTACTTCATGATTAAATTCTGGATTTAATGTAAGCATTTTACTTTTCTCTTTCAAATTCTTGACATTCTACAATTTGATTTTAAATACAAACAAAGACGATAAATTTTGATTGTAACTCTAATGGAGTTTGAAAAAATTATAATCACCCAAAGTGGTAAAATATCTATGCCTTGTCATGATCAAATTCATGTATGATTGTGGGCAAAGAATTGAAAACTCATCCCATTGAATTTGCTCCACTCTCATTTCCTTAAGAGAATGTGATAGCAATATGTGATAAATCTGAAAGAAGACAAAATTATTACCGTGAAGGTATCAATAGATGCGGACGTGGCAATAGACGAAATTATAATCGTGATCATTGTGATAATGAGAATAATAAGGATTCTCAAAATAATATGTCAATTTGTGAAAGTAATATTTGTCATTAATTTGACATGAGATTTTATAAAGCACATATAGATGATTATGGTCCATTCATAATGTGAATGTGACAACATCTGATTTATGAATATATATTCATTCTTCAAAGAATTTGAACGTGCTAGTGGTAGCGAATATACCACACTCACCTCTAGAAGGAGGTTTGAGATGATATAAGAAAATAATGTCATTATTATAGCATGAATGGTCATTGGTCACATACCTATTGTACGCTAAAATATTTTGGCAATGTGATTATTAAAGGACAATAATAATGCAAGAAACAATCTTGCATATAATTTTGATCATGACCATAATGGTATAACTTTCTCCTTGAAAGAGATATATGATCATATGGATGTTGATGAATATGTGGTAGTACAAAATTAATTGAGAGCTCTGAAAGATCCAATTACCACTATTTTGGAGAATTAAAATTGATTATCAATAAAATACTGTGTTGTAGTAAGTCTCAAAGAAATTTATTTAGTTTCTAAAATATTCACGAAAGCGGTTGGTCATACTGAGACTATAAATAAAGGAAAAGTTTAATATCTTCTATTACTACAACTTGTAGCGGGGTAATATATATGTGAAAGTTACCCGCTTTATTCTCTAGTTTGTACTACACAAACATAAGAATGCCATAATAAAGAAGAAGTTTATTGATATAAAAACCCATATCATAATAAACTTGGAGTTTATTGATAATTTCACATGTCATGGTGTAAATTTGAAGTTTATCAATATTGATAATTTATTCAGTTGGCATTTGGGTAGCCATATCAATTTAAGTATGATGTGCAAAAATAATGGAGAATTCACATGGGTAAATATTAAAGAACTAGAAAGTTCTTTACGAATTCTCTTACATTGCTTGTTCTTATTAATTAATAGAGCAACTAAAATTGGGATTGAATCCCATGAATGCTGGAAATAGCAAAGGTGAATATGAGCCCATTCACCTGCCATGTATACCACATAAGATGCATCTATGAGATGGTTACATGTGCAATTATTATTAACTCGCAACATGGTGTTTTGCAAGGTAACTTGCTCAATAGTTTAATTTCGAGCATGATTTCCAGATTTTCTATTCAAGAAGTTCATCTTGATAAGTTGGTTTACATCACAGCTGGTTTAGCAAAGTAATTTATTGAGCGCCTCCACTTAATAGCTAAACTATTGCTTATGAGGATAAAGTTATCTATATCAGTTTGATATAGGTTATATACGAAAGTATATTACATTCTCCCCTCAAAAATGGTTAAGGGTCAGGAACCAAATAATTCCATCTTATTATTATTGATGTGCGATGTATATTGATTAACACCATAACGCATAAAGATGAGTTCTCAAAGTTGAGGAAACAAGTTAGTTTTTCTAACATGAGGGGGAGACATGATAAATAGTTGAGAAAAAGTTACGTGGAACGGATTATCATTTATATATATAGATCCTCGAATATCATAATATGAACTTGAAGTTCATAAAAAGATAATTCGTTTGCAATATATTGCAAAGCATGCCATACGCATTTGCTGACCCAAAGAAAGTAACTATATTCTCATTGCAAATGCTCATATTAAGTCCTAGAAGGACAAAGTCTATAGTACGCTTAAAGCATATAAACAAATCGGTTTCAAATAGAACTTCTTGATAAAGAAGATGAGCAAATGATCAAAGTGATCATAATCAAGAGGCAAGTGATCTAGAAGATCACATGACATAACACTTCATAAAATCTCATGAGAGATTCAGGTACCTGAATATATGAATGAAGAGATCTCTATGTTATGTCTTTATGAAAAAATGTTGGAATCGATATAAAATGTTCGTCGACGACATCTATGATAGCGCTAAATATAGATGGGGATCTTAAGTCAGTCGCCTACAGACACAAAAATATTGGCCAAATGGAAGAGATACAATTCGAATAGAATTGGTTTCATATGAAAGACATATAATTTTGTCTATGTTGTTCAAATACTTGAAAATATAAAGCCAATGGTATGTGCAATCAGTTTTCGATATCTTATATGTGTAGCATGACATGAAAACTTGATATGCATCTAAAGTTTATTATATAGCTTATATGACTTAACTTATATGACAATCCATAAAGGATTAAAGTTTCTTGAAGCATCTACAATTCTTGATCTTGAGGTACTACTTTCTCAGTACAATTTGTGCACAAATGTATCTTGCTATAACTATAAGCATGATATATGATAGCAAGAGTTTTCACCTCTACGTGAAGATATTGACTGACGATTCCAACAAGATCATATGAAGACAATACATTTATTAGGGATGATGATTTCAAAGTGAAACAAGTTCGTTCAATTTAATATGGCTGATTTGTTTATCAAATCTCTACCAAAGATCTTTTGAAGATGGTGCACAATATTGGAATGTAAATGCTTAAAGATGTGAATTGATACTCTCATCAGCGGGAGTTAATGTGCGTTGCACCCTTTTTCCCTTACAAGGTTTTGTCCCATTGGATTTTCCTTGTAAGGTTTTTAATGAAGCAATCAAAAGGAGTATTGTTAGATATGTGTACTCTTTTTCCTTCTCTAGAATTTTTTTCCCACTGGATTTTATTTTAGTTAAGATTTTAACAAGGCACATTATCTATTGAATAGACATTCAAGGGGGAGTATTATAAATAGAATTTTATTTATGGTAAATATCCATATTTAGAGAGATTCTAGGGTTTATTACTTGGTGGCTATATCACCCTCTCCCTATAAATAAAGGGTTCTATTCCATTGTAAATCATCTCAAAGCAATAAGAATTCTCTCTCTACTTTTCTCTGCAATACTCTTCTTCTTTTATTGTTTCATAACATATATTATTACAAAAGCACAAATATTAAAATACTAAATGTTGATCGATAAATATAACCAAAAATATTGACCGACTTTTATGACCTTACAAAATTAAATCATTCATTCAAAGAACTTACCTGATTTGGATAGAATTGGTAATATTGAAATTTAAAATCAACTATACTTTTATCTCTATGGATACTTTTTCGTTGTAGGACTCAAAATTTGAATTGGTGTCGGTTGTTGGTTATACATTCTCAATTTGAAGAGAAATATATTACATTGTCTGCTACTACTTTTTGTGCTTTCTATTGTTAGCCTATGGTATGGTTGCGTGAGAACAAAACCTCTTAGAATGAATATTTCTTAAATTATTATTTTTTTCGTTATCTAACTTTTACATATGTTCTCTTGTAGTTAGTGTGATTAGTATTTTCGGGAAGAAAATTCAAAAGCTTGACTCTTAATAACAATGTAATTTTATCTCTTTTTATTTATTTCCTTCACTTCTATGGATTTAATGATTTTATCTGATAAGTACTATGTGCCGATACAAGTTCATGCATTCTTGGATTTATATATGATACAATAATTTTCATTTTTTTTAGATATATAATTATATTTTGTATATGAATATCTGATACTATATATAAATAGTGATTAGCATTATGTTGCGTGTTTCTTAGATTTTTTTTGTGTTTCTTTTGTATTGACTGAATTAATTTGTTTATTACTTTCGGCACCCATGTTGTAATATTTGACAAAAAATATACGTGCAACGCACATACATAGAGACTAGTTTTTTTAAAAATGCTCTTTACGATCTATATCTTTATAGTAGATAAATGAAAATAAACTAGATGAGCATTAAAGGAAAAAACGCTCTCTATTAAATTCTTTTCTATTTCTAATTCTCAAATTCAAAATATTTGATTAATGGTAGAGGAATCCTATTTTATCTTCCCTACCCTTGGTGGTGAATTTTTATCTATCTAACTTGTAGGTTAATTTAGTTATTAAGTATTCTTCTTGCATGAGACAAAAACATTTTCCAATTATAGAGCAAAACAATGCATGACTCAGAGCATTTTTCTAATTATAGAGCAAATGGCCCATTCATTAATATTCTCATTTCTAGTACAAATTTCAATGGCTTGAGACTAAGCCATATTAACCGGACATCCATTGCTTCCTCTCATGTCCTTAGCCATCAAAATCTTACCTTATCCGTCTCCATCTCCTATCTCTAATTTCTCCTATAAAAAGCCTCTATTTACCAAAACATCAAATTAATTAATTAATTAATTTCGTCATCTAATTTTATTTCTTTAATTACACTCTCTCTTTGTGAAGTTGTAACAGTCGCATTCGGGTGGTGTCCCCCGCCATATATAGTTCCTTACATATATATACAGACGTAGCATCACCTCCTGACGGTTGTTACAAAAAGAATTACTACAATAAATATTGAAACTACGAAAACAAAAAGAAAAAAAAGATTTAAATTATTAGGGATTGTTTTTTATTTAAATCATTGGATTATTCATCGATTATGGGTTTTCTTCACAAACTGTGGGATGATACACTTGCTGGACCTGCACCAGATTCAGGCCTAAGCAAACTCCGAAAGTTTAATACTTTCTCTGGCCGTACTGCCTCTAGTGCTCCGTCGTCCCCCACCAAGTTTCGCCACCTTAACGCCGCCGCTGCCGCCGCTGTTGATCCGATCCCGATATCCCGGAGTATTACAATTCTCCGCAGTAACTCAACTTCTGCATCACGTAGTGGCAATGCTACGCCTGATTCTGTATCTGCACCATCTTCTCCGGCTACTTCTAGCGCTCCAACTTCCCCATTTGCACGTTAGTCCTCTTTCCATAATTATTGCTAGTTTCCCCCACCCCATTTTAAATAGAAAATGATCAAAAATATCTCTCTTCCATAACTATCTTAAGTATATCATCCAATATAATTTGATGTCATTCATATCATTTTATTAGCATGTCGTCTCATACATATTACCCTCCTCAGACCCCACTTGTGGGATTATACTGAGTCGTTGTTGTTGTTGTTGTTGTTGTCGTCTCATAAAAAAGGTAATCCGATGCACATAGTATCCAGTGGCGAAGGTACATAGTTGACCACTTTTCGTCGAAAAATTACGCTGTATATATAGGTAAAATATTAGATTTTAATAGTATATAACATATATTGAACACCCTTTATCTAGAATTTTTTTACTTATTTCAAGTTTGAACACCCTAAATGAAATTTTTGGCTTCGCCACTGATAGTATCCCATAGCAGATTTAGGAAGGGCCGCACCCTAAGGGTGTGATATAAACAACCTACCTTAATGGAAGTAATAGTGACGGTTCCACGGCTCGAATTCATGACCTACAAGTCAACGAAGAAGGTAAAAACGATGCAACGTGAGGGTTAATGTAATGCTAATTAACGGATTTTAGCATATCGTCTCATATTCGTTCTTAATCCTAACGATATTTTCAACTTAAAGTATAACAAAGGACAATTTTAAACGGTGTCACCAGGCCAGTGGAAGGGTAAAATTAGACATTTTGAGTTTTTGACTAAGGACCATATTTGAGCTTTGTTAATTAAATTCCAAGTTAAATATTAAACATGAGACAATTTGCCTATAATAAGAATATGAATGACTCAAAATATATCTAAGAATAAAATTAAAATATTTTACACAGTAGGAGGATAATTTTAAACTTTTTCCCTTTTTCATGCTATGAGGTGTTTGGTGTTTAACAAATGACTTTTTTTTCTTTGTTTGTTATTATTATTATTATTATTATTATTATTATTATTATTATTATTATTATTATTATTATTATTATTATTATTATTATTATTATTATTATTATTATTATTATTATTATTATTATTATTATTATTATTATTATTATTATTATTATTATTATTATTATTATTATTATTATTATTATTATTAATGGTTTTTTTTTTCCTATAGCAAGTTCAGCACGGAGGTATTATAAAAAGCAACCAAAAGGAAAAACAAACAGGGAACGATCTCCAAACTATGATTGGTAATTTTTATCCTTGCCCTCCTTATATATAATTCAGCAATATCGTTTGATTATTTGCGTTTCTCTTTTTCTAGTTTCTAAAAGTTGCATGCATGCAAAGGCAAATTCAGTATTTTGAGTTTATGAGTTTCTATAGAAATCTCAAATTAATATACAATAATAATTGGATTAACAGATTGAGTTCCAAGCTAATGTTCTTATACATTTAATGAATTTTAATACAAATATAGGATATAGGCAAAAGTTACTGGGTTCATGGGAACTTGTAACCAGTGACGGAGACAGAATTTCTGCTAAGGGGGTTCAAAAAAGAAAAAAAAATTTAAATATTAGAAGAGATTGTAGCTAGTGGGAATTGAATCAATGACCTCACAAAGACTTTGAAACCTTTGACTAAGCTATACTTTTGGGTTGCGACCAAGGCAATTCAAAACATAATATATAGATGTAAAAACAGACTTTGCCTTGTATGTACAGTGTACTTTTTCAGCGAAGGGGTTCGCGTAAACCCCTTCCGCCCCCTAAATCCGCCTCTGCCCATAACTAAAGCACTAGATCCGCCCCTGCATGCATGCATCTTTTCTATTCTCGATGATGTGCTTTCTCATACAATAATGGTGGATTTGGATTGTTTTTCAGGATCGTACTGAGTGCTTGGGATCGTTGACGAGATAGATCAATTGACAAAACAACTTTTTATGTGTGTGAAGAAATGACTGCTAAAGGCCGTACGTGCGCAAACAAACTGATAGAGATCTAGGTTACCGGCTGCTAATCGGATTTCCAATGTTGTTGTGCATATATAAATAATCTGTACATATTTGTAATTTCTTGATATAATACTAGTATATATAATACCATATATAACCAGAATAAGAAGGTTCTTTCAGTACTAAAGAACCACTGCATCATTTATGTTAATATCAGGGAGAGAGAAACTAGAAGTAGGAGAATTAATTTTTCTTGTAACTTGCTTCCTCCATCTGTCTGGAGCGATGATTTTTTTTTTTTTTTTTTTTTTTTTTTTTTTTTTTTTTTATTTTTTTATTTCTTTGTTATTTTAGTGGAAATTGGCTCTCTTTCTGAGCTGCTATCTGTCTAGACGGATGTGAGTTTGATGTAATTAATCAATAAATCTCCAGTTTAGTTTAATTCGTTGGTTGAATTTTCTTGTATATAAAACGAAGTAGCTCTTAATTATGGCTTCGTCAAGGCAAATAACTATCAGTGGAGAGGTTAATCTTTCACATAATTCCAATTGATACTTGCAAGGTAAATTATAAATAATTAACAGTTTAAGTAATCAATTGGGGATGTAGCTCAAATGGTAGAGCGCTCGCTTTGCATGCGAGAGGCACGGGGTTCGATCCCCCGCATCTCCATTATTTTTGTAATTTTTGTTTCCATATTTTAACCCAAACTCACTTCTATTGGTTATACATCTATCTCATAAGCTTTACACCAAAATTTGTGATCTCTAGCGCCAACTTTGATTGGTTTTTCTCTTGATTAGGACTGAATAAGTGCACTAGGAATATATTTGTACTAAGAACAACCTATCTCAATAATACACCAAACCAAATCTGGGATAAAGTTAATCTTAAACTTTATTCTACGATTATTATTCTTATCCCATGAAAGGGATCATTTGGTACAATGGTAGGATATCCCATGAGATTAGTTATCCACCTTCTATATGTGATGGCTAATCCTACCGTACTAGTGCAAAAATTATCCCGGAATTAACTAAAACTCCAAACTAAACTTGAGATAAAATTAGTCCCAAACTTTATCCCGAAATTATTATTTTTATCTTATTTACCAAACGACCCCTAAGTGTTCAATAGGTACTAAGCCAAATTCAAGTGTCTAAATGGAAAAGTCGGACAAGTTTAAGGCAACATGTATTTGGCATTATTTTTACATAAATAACAAAGAATTCAGATGTGATGTGGGAAAAATTTACTCAATTATCAAATACTAAACAACACGATTGGAATGGGAATTGATTATCAGTCTCCATTTTCTTAATACCTAATGTTTGACCAAAAAATATTAAATCTTTTTAGTTAAATCAATTAATGATGAGAGGAAGGGTGAATTTTAGTTAAGAATAATAAAATTTAGACCAAATATTAAGTGAAATTAGTAAGGTGAACGACGTTACCCAATGTGTTCATGCTGATTAAACGCTCATGAATACAACGACATAAATGCGCAATAAATATGGACAAAGGTAACGAGCATAACAAAAAAGGAATTTACTATCCAATTATTGTAAGATTTGGATGACTCTTTCCACTGACAGCATCGTGGAAAGAAGAGAAATAAAAGGAGCTGAGGAATCTTTGGATCTCATGAATAAAGAATCACAAACGTATGCTTAAATAATGTAATCAATGAACAAGACAACTTTAGAATATTCTCTCAGGTCAACCTCTTACAAAGTGTTATTTCTCAAAAAGTCAAGATCCTCCCCCCCCCTTTTGTTCTCTATCTCTTCCTATTTATAAGAGATATTTTCCAGAAACCCTAAAAAGTGCAAAATAAGGAATATCCAAGGGAATATTCCCTGTGTCCATATCTGAACCCATGCTACCGTTATTTGTTCATCCCAGTTGCCCATTTTTGGCATCAGCCTTCTCGAGAGCAATCTTCAGTTGTTACACCATGGTTGACCCCGTCCTTGGTCTTGCTTTATCCGTTACCTCCAAGCCGTCAAATTTAGACCTATACAGTTAGTCTCTCCGCTTGTTGAGGTTGTGGTTCTGCACGCCCTCAATAAGCGGACCTGATTTGCCTTCGTTTCGAAGTAATTTGGTTGTTGAATAAGCCAGGTCGACCGAGGCGGAGAGAACGACGCAACTAGTGAAGTCGTGATTAGTGTGGCTACCATGGGGTGACGTCATAGCCACGCACGACATCATTAGGCGTCTTCCCGAGACAACGTCCGCGTGCCTGTCGCTTTGGTTTTGGTGCTATTGAAAATCCTTTGCTTCGATTCTCGTGCCACCCAACCTTATAAATAGATGGGAGTTTCGTTTTTCAGAAGTTTTTACCATACCTTACCTTGCATGAACACTATTCTCCTTTTATCTTCTTTGCCAGTTTCTGCTCTTGATTTTGTCTTCACGATTCCATACCTCTCCTTCTTACCTAGTTGTTATCTTCTTCTTCTTCAGGTTTAACAGAACACATTTCATCGTCGAAATATCACAAACCCTTCGCATTTATGATGAAGTTTCTGATGCCACTACGTTGTCGGTGACTCTTCCTTCCAGTGGCGAGGATTTCATAGCTGTAGAGGATGAGAGCTTTCCTACTACGGAGGAGATAGTTCCAAGAAACCCCTTGTTTAGAAATGATTTTCCCAAGGAGCCCGCTCCTGCTCCTACTCTCACTCAGGTGATCTCCGAGACTGGACCGTCTTATATAGCTGAGCTTAGATCTACATATCACATCCCTCCCCACATCGAGATAGTACCGGTTGAGGGTGACATCGTGGAGGTCCATCAACTTGAGTATTGTGCCTTCTATGTCTACCTTTCATGTTCGGTTATACTCTCCCTCTTCTTCCGCTAGCGGAGAAATTTTGTCTGCCCGACATAATTATCTCCTTATTTGTATAATAATTTTCTGATGCTAACGAAGTATGCGGAATTGGCTAGTTGTGAGGCTGATGTTCGCCACCTGTTAATTCTCATCAATTTTTACAAAGGTACTATAAAACACCTACGATATCGCAGGACCAGAGGGCTGATAGTTAGAATGGACGACAGGATGAATCAAAAGTTTTGGTACAAGTACTTCTTTGTCAAAACCGAGCACTTAATAGCGGACCCAACTGGGTTTCCCGAGCAGTGGAACCACAATCGTAAGTGTCTTTGGCATACGCTCGATGTCTCCTTTTGTTCTATAATTTTCGGCTCATAGTGGTTTTTTTTGTTTTTTAGCTGAGAGGCGTGCACCCCCTATCTTCTACATTGAATACTGGGTGGCTCGCGTGTTGCCTCACATGGCAGGTGTTCGTGATTAGGCGGTTTTCTACAAGCGCTTCAGACCGAACGTCCCGTCTAATAAGTGTTACTTTTGCTTCAGCTCTTTGTTGTTTGCCATTGCTTGTTGATACGAATTCCTTTTGGTGCTAGGTCGGTAAATTTCTAAGAAGGCTCCTGTGCCGGCATTTCGCCAAGCTACCGCATCGGCGGGGATGCAATTTTCTTTGGTCGACTCCGTTCGTGGAGGTCGTACTCAAGCTCCGTTGATGAGGGATTCTGCCCCTCAAACTATTATCCCAGCCTATCTATCATCTCATAGACGAGTCATCTAATGGAGGGGAGTCACCATCGAGAAAAAGGTGAAAGATGGAGCTTGGAAAGGTCGTTGCCACTGATATTGAATCGGAGAAGCCCATTGCTCCAAAAACGGCGTCTGCACTTACACCAGATGTAGGGGCCATGTTTACGACGGACACTATTGGGTAAGGGACGCCCTCTAGGGCCGAAGGGGTGCATGATGATGAGGAGCTTATAAGGACCGCAGAGGGTGGTGCATCATCGGTGGCAGAGAGGGATAGAATGGTACCTGCGGGGGACAACGGTTCAGGCTCGGACATCAATTCTAAAGAGGTACAGGCCTTCTTGGAGAGGAATACTCGCGTGGAAGTGAGGACGGAGGGTCCTAAATGGCACGCAATCATTCCCGTGGGTTATGACCTTTTAGCTAACTCTGAACGGGCGGTGTCGTCCTTTGTCCCCTTGTGCGCAGCTTCTGAGAATACGACACTACAGACAATGAGTGATGCAGAGCTATCGCCGAGTATTTCTGGCATGGCTTTGCAAGTAAGTGCTTTTTAATGTTAAGATTTGTTTTGCCTCCGGAATTTGCTTATACTGACTTCTTTCTTTTGCATGTCAAACTCTCATCACAGGGATCGAGCGTGACCGGCGGGAGGAGCGGAGGACGGCCATTTTTAAGAAGGTGACCTCTAAGTATAAAGAGTATCATACCAAGCACCGAACACTGACTGACGTCTTTAACCAAGATAGCGAGTTTCAGCTATTTCATGACGGGCTTAAATAGAAGGAGGAGGAGTTGGTGAGGAAAGTTGAGGAGCTAAAGGAGAGGGATGATGAGCTAATGAAAGCCATAGGCCGGTGCAGCGAGCTTGAGGCGGCTCTTAAGACCAAGGAGGATGAGCTCGAGGTGAGCAAGGGGGTGATGGCTGAGAATGCCGACCTTCAAGCGAGGGTGGCTTTCTTAACTACTAAGTTTGGGCGGAGGGAAGCAGAAGCTGTTGATCTGAGGGGCGAGTTGAGCATTAAGGTCGATGAATTGACTCCTGCCGAAAAAGGCAGAATGGCCGCCATGTTTGAAGCAACGACCTTAGATGATGCCCTCCATGTTTTTAGATCTAAGCGGGATAATGAAGTAGAGACGGCGGCGCTCAAGGTGGCAAGGTTAGAAGAGCGGATCCAGGATCTGGAGGTGGAGTTATCTAGATTGAATGAGCAGGTTGTTGCTTTGAAGGCTGAGGAAGTGCGACGACACTCGCAGCCATCTATGTCTCATACTTCTGTCGACCCTGTCGTTCCACGGAAGTTGTATGAGATGTGGGTTCACGCCGAGGCTCAGCTTGATGTGCATGAGTCCCTGAAGGCTGACATGAGAGTTTTCGAGGCAGAACTCGAGGGTGTCCGTATTAAAGCACATGCGACCCGTGAAGCTTGTAGTTACGCCCCCGGTACGCCTGGCGGGGATGATGTTGATGATGATGCAGACAGGCTCGCCTCTAATTCTTGGTATAATGACAAGTACGCTGATGGGGATGATGCGGCGTAAAGTCATTTTACTTATTTTTGTTTTGTCATGCTATTTTGTGAGGGCATCTTTGGCAATATGACAGTTGTAATGGAATGATTTCCTTTTTGCTATGTATTTCTTGATTGTCATTATCTTTTTGTTTGCTGTGTGGTGAAGTCCCTAACTTTTTTAGCCGCTTGTGTGTAGTGTTTTGGCGTAGTCGATCATAGATTGTAAAGTAATTCAAGCGAGGTCGAATGTAAAGTAATTCAGGCGAGGTCGAATGCAAGGTAATTTGGGCGAGGTTGAATGTAAGTTAATTCGAGCGTGGTCGAATGTAAAGTAATTCAAGCCAGGTTGAAT